ACTGCCTGGGATTCACTTGATACAAATTTGATTAAACGTTCATTTAATTGTTGTAATATTTGATCAAGCTTTTTTTTCTCAATGCATTAAAATTTTTGTTATTCGTTTAACTTTTTATTCATTAAGGTAATAGTAAAATTCTTTCATAATTTAGACATTAGCCAATATAAGATATAGTATTGAATATTATAGTGTCCATATTATATATGTATCAGTGCCGAAAATTCCTAAACCTGTTGCATAACCAATACAACAATCTACAGGAAATAGTCTGGTGCTGGTTTTTTTGCTGGTAAACCACGAACATCCTAGGTTCAAAAACAATCAAGTAATGTTAATACTCAGTACCATGCATTCTTTCAAAGTTAAAATAATAAAGGTCCTAACTTGTGGTGCAGCTTCAAATATCTTGTAATTTTTATTTAGTTTATCGTCTAACTCTAAAATTGCAGCGACATTTCCACATCTTTATAAAAAAAAAAAAAAAAAAATTTATATTATAAACCATGAAAAAAAAGGAAAATAAAAATAGTATAGAACCAATACGTATAACTTACCTATAACAATAATTTGGTGCCGACCAAACCGTGACTATAGTATTATTAAACATTAATTTATAACCTTCCATTACCAATTGATGGGCTCTTGCAATCAAATCTAAGTTATTGTTTTGTAAAAACTAAGAGTTTTCATATATATAGGTTTTTTCTTAATAAATAATATTATAAAAAATAATACAAATTATATTATAAGCCTTTACCTGAGCAACGATATCACCACCAAATAAATACCCCGCTCCACGAGGACTGATTCCCCAACCTTCAATATCTAGAGTTACATATACAATCAATTATGAGTATTGATTAACAAGAATTTCGATCTTTTATTAACAAATTACCATCTGGATCAGACCATAATAGATCGCACATAGCACCATCGTGTGGAACTTCTTGCTTTCTGTCAATCGTACGAATCTAATAAAAAAAATTGAAAAATTAATGAATTCGGATGGAGACTAGATTGAACATAAGCATAATCAATTATGTATATTATGTATATTACCTGATCTAATGAACCGATTACAGGTGATAGTCCGCCATGCACACAAAATATTTTGTTTTCAATAATTGCAGATAAACTCATGTAATCGAATATTTCACAGCAATGTCTCCATACGTTTACAGATCCATATTTTCGAAGACATTCATCGTAAAATCCGTAGACTTGTGTAATTTGCCGTGATTCGTGATTACCACGTATCAATGTTATTCTATCTGGATATCGAACCTACAATATAAAGATAAAGATCAAAATTTCTATTTGACAATCTTGAAGTTAAATATTTAAATGATACCTTGAGAGCGAGCAGCAATAAAAACGTTTCGACACTATAAAAGCCACGATCCACAAAATCTCCTGAAAACAAAAACAAAGAATTGTAAATACAAATTAATACTAAATAATATCATGGTTTGAAAAAGTTACCTAAGAACAGATAATTCGTATCCGGACAATCACCACCGACCTTGAACAATTCTTTGAGATCATAAAACTGCCCGTGTATGTCACCGCATATCTAGTGAAAAATCTATTTTAATGAGAAATACCACAACATAAAAAAGCATAAACACAATCTCTATAGAGGGAAAAAGAGGCTTACGGTTACGGGCGCGTCCACTCTTTGAACATTACTTTCTTCTATTAAAACTTCTCTAGCTTTTCGACAAAGTTCTTTTACTTCGTTTTCTGAAATCAATTCGCATTTACGAAGTTTTTCAATTTGTCTATTGGAGATTTGATTATATAAGTAAAGTCAGAGAAAATTGTTGATGGATGAATATTGAGAAAAACATCTTACCCATCGAGATCACTCTGTCCCATTAGGTTTCACACAAGCTGATTCGAATAGGCGGTAAAAAATATGAGAATTAGAAAATGTGTGATGGTTTTAACAAGATTACCGGATTCTTTTATTATTATTAAAATAAAATAAAATTGGTTGTTTTTAGCCGAGACGTTGAATTGAATTCCAACTCGTATTGTACTGTGATTAGGGAAAACGATTGCGCCACATATGAATCATCCAGGACGGCCCCCAAAAATGCAGTGACGTAGATTATGGTATACTAGAACCCTAGCCAAGCGGAAAACGAAGTGTCGGGTCATGTGACTTCCGAAGCATTCGATCTGATATTTAAAAATCA